TACCATGACACTGTTTTTAGTAGCAGTGTTACGAATCATATTTTGGACTGACAAATTTGAATGAAATTTTTCCAATTTTGTCTATTCCAATGACCTGACCAGTACATTTTTCCCTTTGAAAATTAATAAAGAACTTCCTCTCATAGCACCAGTCATTCACTAAAATGACCTAGGCGCAAAATTACAATTAGGTACCCATTTAAATATTTATTTATGTCTTACTAACATATCATAGCACATTTTATATCTGTGATATGCGGGCATAAAGTACCATTTTATGCCCCAGAGCATTAAGTATCACCATAGTAACTTATTTATACTTAATGACAAAACAAACATTCATTGAAGATTGAAGATTGTTAAATGTCAATACCTACTAACTAACAAGATTGGCCTTATTTCGAATAGTTTCTGGAACTACTTCCTCATTCATGATGAACTGAATTATTTAAAATTGCGTTTGACGTTTGGATGGTTTCAATCACCTTAACAAATTTGAACCACGCATACTTGATCAAACATAATGAATTGTTTTGTAAATGAATATTTACTTTGACGAAGAAAACTATTTGTAAGACAAAATTTTGTATTGTACCACGGGCATAAAATGATGTTTATACTCTCGGACGACTAAAAAACTCTCGGGCCTATCGGCCTCGAGCTTTTTAACTCATCGCTCTGGTGGTGTGGTAACTGGTAAGCCGGCATCCATCATATAACTGCTAAATTTCACAGATTAATTGGCTGAAGCTGTCTAATTAAAGCCACAATATTGAACTTACGATTCACAGCGGTTGATACAGTACTTAATCACAAAACGTCAAAATTGCAGCCAAATACAAGTCCCTTCAATTTCACATAAGGTCATTTATGAACTGAATTGCATGAAATTCAAAGTGGGCATAGCCAGTACCATATCAAGTGTAATGTCACGCCTCTTTGTCATTTTTGATTATGTATTGTCGGGGTTTAACTCAATCATGTTCCAGTATTAGCATATTCAAATGAATTCAAGAACAAGTTTCGCCAGGGTGTCGCCTCCTCTAACAACTCGCATCCATTGAACCTAATGTGACCTTCGGTTCTCAAGATCAAAGATGCCTGTAATGAAAGAGGTCTATAATGCGAAAGGTTGGTTTCCAAGTTCCAGGCTTTTACAATCGAGTAGTAATCTTATATCAATTTAACGGAAAAATCTTATCTTCATGAATCATGATATTTACCACACTAGGGTTTGAACTCAGAAACATTTCATTGTGCGCAGTTACATATTTACATTTGTTAAACGATAGGCATACGTTTACAATTCATGAAAAATCAATTTTCTGCATTATACAA